CTATTTCAAAATAAATGTTTTAAGCAATCCTATACAGAATAAAATTTCTCCTCGATTGAGAAAGCTCTCTTTGCAGAAATTTCTTTCGGCTACGATATTGGCTGCCGAGGAAGTTGAATTTTTCATTTATATCATCCGGATGTACGGTTGAGACCACCTTCGTGGCATTCCCCTTCGTTCTATATTCATGCCCGCGGTACGGTAACGAGTTAACATTAAGGAGAAACTATCAAGACCGAAGAATAAGCACACGTTGATCGGTCGAAATATCAATGTCCAACGTGTTGCTTTCTTCCACTACGATTCCATAACGAGTAACGAGTCATAAACCGCCAATCAAGGAGGAAGCCAAACTCTTTTTCCCAACTCGAATTGCTAATTATTGTTACCAACGTATCGAGGATTTTTCTCACGCAATTTATAGCGAACGAGAGATTTATTAGTTATCGCGAGTAAATTCATAAATCGACGAAGACTGATTTCCGGAGAAGTGCAAAGAGAGGCTTTATTTAATCAATGTCGATTTTTCGCAATCGCCCTTTTCTTTCCGCAACGGGAATTCTTCACTGAACGTTGCGATAATTAAAACGCGCATTAAAATTGCAAGGAAGCTAGGTAGAGTCTGAAGGCGGGAAATAATTCTCCTGTTTGATTCAGCCCCGATCTTTGAAACTTCTAAGATTATGAATGAAACGCGCTGCTATATCCCGACTAATCTAGCGATGTCCTTGAGCCTCAACGATACTTCCAGGCGGGCAGTAGCGGGCGGGCTGGTAGCGAAACTGGGAGCGAGACGGTGTAGATACGCGTAAGGAAGCGTAACGCCTACGTAGAGCCGAGCCTCTGACTCGCGACTTCCGGTCAAGCAGCAGGAAGCACGCTCGGTGCCTCGCCGCCACCGACGCTCGACTTGCCCGACGTCCCTGTCCTTAGACCTGGCTATACCTGAGCGAGGAACTGCCAGCGGTGTTCCTCGCTCTCGAGAAATGTTCTTATGCCGTACTATAAGTTTACCGGAGATTTTTTTATGTATAAGGGCCAGTTTCACAAACATCGGTTAACTGCTAACCGAAGGTTAATTGATCCTCTGTCTCTTCTTAAATAATAAAATGGAAAAAGATAGGGAGTCGACTGAACTCTAGTTAACAGTTAACCTCGCAAGGCCAATGAATTTAACGTCGAATAATCGAATATTGCGATAGATAACTGTGTATATCTTCTTAAAAGGAAGACAATCGAGTTTCATTTGGTCTAGCACAAAGTAGAGATAGACGTAGGAAAGGAGAAAACTGACCAGCGTGCGTTGTTTTTTGTTTCACGAAATCTGTATGTGTGTCTCACGATTATGAGTCCGAATTATTTTTCAGAGTCCCAACGCCTTAACGATGCCGTTAATTGACCCACACGCAGCGTCTTTTTACGCGCAAAACCCGCACATATTTACTCCGTGATCGCAAGAGTGCGTTCATGGCTTAACGATGTCGTTAATTGTCTCGCGACGGGAGCAAGCTACGGTTTTTCTCGTAAGTGCGAGCGCGTTCAACCTGTTTCGTACGTAGTAACACCTAACTGTACACATCTGAATTCGCAAAATCCTAATTTGCCGGCGGCAAATGCCAGGTGTGTCTCGAGTTCTCTTTCTTCCACAAAAGTTTTACAAGTCGCAAAGCTAAAATTATCGCGGGCTGGGCGTTGAGCTGCGGGTGGATAACGAAATGCCGTCGTTCCTAGTTTGCAGAGCAAGACGTCAACTATTATTTGAACGGGTTAAAGCGGTTTAAGCATCGCTGGATTAAGTGTATCGACTTAAAAGGAGACTATGTCGAAAAATAAAAGTGAGTTTGACTGAAAAAAAAAATGGTTTCTATGTTAGACTCAAAACTGAAAAAAATCATGGATCTATGTATGCAATACACTCCGTTTAAAGCAGAAGCTCGTACACCGAATGCATCGTAGGCCACATTCGCGGGGCCGAAAGTGCGGAAGGGAGCGTAGTCGCGGGGTCTGTTTCGCGTTTCGGTTCGCTAATTTCATGCGTTCGCACGCCGAAATAAAAGCTTTAATTTCGTGGCAACCTGCCGCCGCGCCTAATTGGTATAGACGACGATGCCGGAGAACGTGTTCGCCCGTTCGTTCGCTCGCTCGCACGGCCGACTGCCTGCCGATGCGATCGAAGGAAGAGAGAGCCACGGCGTACCATATTAATTCATAATTGCGTAATTACCCTCCTAATTACAACACCGTGCGTGTGTCAAATTATCCCACCGTCTTGGACGAAAGACGAGACGCGCGCTCCCAAGGACGTCGTAATTTCGAGGGTCTGATTTACGTACGCGGGACGATAATTGATCGGGAATTTTCGAAAGAGATGAACGCGAAAGATTAACCCCGTCTCATTGGCGAAAAGTCCGAAAAGTTTCGCGATAATCGGCGATTATTATCATACAACTGACGATATGTAATTTCGAGGAGTGGAGACTGTCCACTTGAAATTATCATTCACGAGATAGAGTCGCGCGATCGGAATAATCAACGCTAATTGCTTAATTGGACGTCGTTGAAGAGACAACTGCTATTTTGCTAGCTATGATTTACCTGTTGATCTTCGTATAGATCCGTGCCATTCAGTCGACGAACACTGATAAATTACTCCTACAGGTTCTTTGTCAATTTTCTTGCAATTAACATTTCCTCCCCCAAGTACGAATAAATTGTTGGAAATTAAGAGATATAAGAAAAATCAAATTAGTGATTCTGTTTAAACATCCCGGGATGAAAAATACTAATCGGGAATGCAGCGTGGCTGCGACAATGACCTTGAGGGAACTCGTTTCGCGATTCGCACCTGCGACTGCCAAGTTCAAGTCACGATTTGTCCCCCGATCGCGTATCGATCTCATTGCCGCTCGAGAATTAATTAACCGCACAGATGTACCGGGTAATTTAAAATGACACACGGCGTCCCGATATCATCGCCATTCATCGTTTTGGGCGCCAAATATCCGAGCTCGCTCGAAAGAGGCAAGTAGCGAAAAGAATCGATGGAAATGATTTCGTGAAAATCGCCGCTGAAATACTTTCCTGCGGATTTGCCAATCGCATGTACGAGCGTACGCGCGGGGACGGCAGCTCCGCACGAGATGGCCGGATTAATTAGGGCTGGGATTGTCGAGCGCTCGCGAGCGATTAATCGCGGAAACCCGAAACAGCGGCGCACCTCGCGTGTACGCCTCTCGTTCGCGGCGTACAAAAGGACGAGAAAAAGAGAGATGCATCGAGATCGCGCCCGGATAAAAGACGCGTACACCTGAGAGCAGCAGGTGCGACGCAAGGTCTCGGTCCTCGGACGGAGTCCTGCTCTTCTCTCGCGTGACAGCGCGTGCGACGCGAAGCGATCGACGCACAGCTAATCGTAGATATGTGTGCCGAAATAATTGATAGGGCGAGTTTCAAAAATCATTGAAAATACCCCTCGCGAAAAACATGAGAAACAATTTCTACAAATTCAATAGGTCTGTGCTGTTATCGTTGCAATTGATGCTATTATCGTTCTATTATTACAGGATTATCATGGGACATGACTGCGTCTAAACACAAAGGTACGTGCGATCTCTTTTGCTTTAAACGGAAGAAAGTTATCACGAAAACTGAAACTCTAGCTTTTTAACGTAACGACATCGCGCAAGTAAAATATGCATTCGTATCTCTTGTGTTCCATCACAATAGATGATCGAATTGTATACGAGCGTCGCAATACGATAACGTCCAGTCCCTATGTATTTGTGGCCACTGCGGGGAAGAGAGGAAGCGACCAAGTCGATCGTCGTGATAACTTAATTTTGCTCTCGCCCATTCAGTCCCGACTGCAACCCCTATCGCGTCCTCTCCTCCGCACTCCCGTTCTTTTTCTCTCTTGCAGTACTTACCCGATGCCTTTGAACGTCATTGAGCGATGGCCCGTCCTTATAGCAGCGACCTTGACGAGAGCCTGCGACCTACGATGTCGATAGTATGCGGGCTGCAATTGTGCACGAATGTTCACCTTCCGTTGAAGCAGCAGTACAACCCTTTGCTGCTCGTTGTTGTTGTTGATGTACTATCGATGAGGAAAGCGACCACGTGTGCGACGAGGTGAGTTGAATTACGATCGTCCATTTACATTGCAAAATAATATAGAATGTTAATTACTTCCGCGTTTAAATTATAATGGTACAATGCATATTAAGACACAAAATTCAAGATAAATCAAATTATCGTGGCACATCTTGAAGCTCCGAGAATGTCTGTTTGTGCAATAAATTAAATCAATTCAGGGTAATATATACAGCAGCCGCGCGTCGCGTATCTCTCAACCGCGGCTTTTCGAACAATTTAACGGCAACAGTTGGAAACCAACGAACTCCTAACCGACTTACATATACGACAGGAAAGGGATATTCGCTAATTAATTCCAAAAATGCGCTACGCATGGGACTCTCGTAGTTCGCGCGATCAGATAAAAGGAATCACGAGGCACGAAGGATTCCTCGCGCTCGGCTTGATCCCAATCACGCAGATGATGACGCGGCTCCACCGACAGCTGCATACTCGCGCCATTAACCGGCACTTCCAGCTTTCGGACACCGCTTCGTTGATCAGTCATTATCGTACAGAATCCTCGTCGTCCTCTTACCGCACTCGACGATCGTTTGCATGTTTCTCGGGAATTGAAAGTAGCAGAAATAAGAGAACGGATACGGACAGATATTGTATCGTTCCAATTTTGTATTGCGTTTTTTATCCACGGAGAGAGTGGAGAATTTAACTTTAAATTTAATTAAAAATATAAACTTCATTGTTACTTTTAATTCAAAGCTGAATTAAAATAGTTAAAAAAACATTAGAAATGAAACTTTTCTTGAGGAAAAATAGCAATTAAGTTGAAACGTTCGTCGGTGGAAGGGAATTCGAGAAGGTGGGAATTCTGTGTATAATATTGGCAATAAACTATGGGCGTGGCATTCGTGAAGGTGAAATTTTTATCTGTTTATTGCTAATATAAATACTATTCTTTTACAAATTGAATTGGCCTAACGACGTCTCGTAACATGCATAAAAAATATCGGCTAGCCGAGTCTAGTGACGGAATAATGCTATCGTTAATGAACAATGTACAAAGACGCCGAGAGAGCGATCGACAGATAGAACCGGAGGGGGCAAATCCAAAATACCTCCCCGTCCCCTTTTTCGTCGTATACGCCGGAGATCTGATCTGTCGATGATCTTCGTCAGAATTCGGCGCCAACGTGCGCGCGACGACACGCCGTGTCGACTATCTAATTGTACACTTAGAGTTAAAAACGAGAGCTACACTTGTACCACATACGTAGAATCGGATCGACTGATTAATAACAAAAAGAATCGACCCCTTTCACTCCCGCAGCGGATAAGTGTCCCGCAAGAATTTCGTTCTTGCGCGTTTCATCGAAGAGCACGATCCAAATTGCTGTAAAACTGAGGAAACGAATCCGAGGAAGGGATTCAAAGGCAAGCATCAAATTAAGTACCTAACTGACGTCGACGAGTTTTTACTAACGTTCGACGATGAGTCCCGCCGTATTTCTTATAAATAAATATAATTGTGCAATATATTCGTAACCGTAACAGTGCCTAGATATTGTCAATCGCTGCCTCTTTTTCGCATATAATTATAATTTAGCAGTGGAATTATAATTGAGACAAAGGGGAGAGAGCGGGATCTAACGCTTATCAGAACTGCACGCTCGAGTCACGCGTACAGAAACATCCCTGGCGAAAGTTAAATTCTCACGAGATACAATATGCGGTATTTTAATCAAGTCTGAAATTTCGAGAAATAAACCGTGAGCTACGAAAATGTGTTTTCACTGCCCTATTAATCTAATTAAGATTACTCTGTTGTAGAAATTTCGGTACCTGGCGGAAAGAAAAAGCACAGAGATATTTCACCGACACCGTGAGGTTGAGCGTCTTTGAGTGAGACATCAGGAACCATTTCAACCCAAGTCACTCACTTTTTCCTTTTTTTTTCCACTCACTTTTTCGCGAAACTACGATGATCCTGCGCGTGGCTGTTGCTGCGTGTAGAATCCGAAAGGTCGCGATTCCGCCAACGAGGACGATGAGGACGACGACGACGATAACAGTGACGTTGAATTTGCAGTTGTCATCGGAACTGAAGATGACGACGACGCGCCGGTCATCGAAATGCCGGGACGCTTCTGCGACGACGACGACGACGAAGACACTTTCTGCTGACCGACACCCGCGACCGTTTGATGGGACCTGATAGGTACTGGAAGCGGACGCTGGATCTTTTTGCCATGATGATGACCGGGAGTGCGATAGCCTTGATGCGCGGGACCAGTCGGCCGTAATCGTGGTCTACCAGGACCTCTACGAATCCCCGCGTTACCACTGCGTCCCGATAAAGGTATCAAAGTGCCCACTGGACCAAGTGGACCCACCGTGCTGGGGCCGTCTCCGTCCGCCGGGTCGGAAGTCGCCGGAGTCCCTAGGACATAAAAAGGTACGCCTCTTCGTTCCAGGAGGTTCTGCTGAAAATTTCGCCGCTGCGCTAACAGTTTCTCGTTCCGATGTAGTTCGATCAAATTACATGTATACGTATCTGCATGCGTGTGCAATTTCTATTAGAGATTCTATTAAACCTAATCAAAATCCAATTCATTAATTTCAAACTATATATCGCCCCTGTTTGTACGAGACGCGCGCTCTGAGATTTATTGGACCACCGAGAACGGACGTTAATTGCAATAATTAGATGACAAGATGGATGTAGATGTAACTACAACGTTTACGATTACGGCAAAGCGGACGCACAGAAGCTATGATAAACGAACTTAACGTTGACTGGTTCGACCAGTTAATCGGTTATTCACCGGTTATCCTGGCCAAAGATGCGAGAGAGGACACTCGCGGACTACGAGGTGTTAACCAGTTTAGCAAAGGAGCGAAACGCCCAAATTATCGCTCGTAAGTTAAATACCATGGGAAAAAATATCAATTACAGGCTTGTACAACGTCTTGCACAATTAACAAATATTCCTGCGAGGAAATAGATTGAGAAGAAAATTCCCACGAGAGGCGAGGAGTAGCATTTCTTAGAAACAGAATGGGTACATCCTACAGTTGAGTTTCTACGATTATTGAACAAGCAGGCCGGAATACGATGCTCAAATACGCGTTATTTGAGCATCGTGAGAGAATGTCATTGTTACGTACTTCGGCGCAGGGCGTTAAAATAATCACGTAACAAACGCTTAGAAAGATCCCATTTCGTGCTTCTCTCGAGTCGAGTTCTCGAGAGGAAACGGCGCGGGCAAGTCTTTTCTGGTCTTTTCAGCGGGACGCGACGCATACGAAAATCAGTACTCATCTCGAACGTGGATATCTCGTATTTTGGCCCTTTTCGTCTCTATCCCGCCGCCTCGTCGGCATTCCGCGGCACGTACCCAATCGCTCGAGGAGCGGTTCCTCTTCAGCCACTACGGGGTCTAAGAGGACACTTAGCGAAATGGACGAGGGGTGGAAAACGCGAAAATGCGCGTCTGTCTCCACGGGACGCCAACTCTCGCACTCCGCTAGCGATGCGATAATGTGCTCTGAAAATTCTACGCGTGAATCGCATTGACAGGGAAGAGGGAGAAATTCAAAGACGCCTCACGAGAATCTAAGATGACGATCTTCAAATGTCGCGTATAAATAAGTCGTGATACTCCGACATTTCGACTGTCAAATAACACGTGTGCAACATCGCGTATTTTCTACAACATTACAAAACGAAAGTTCTTGTATTATTCTTTACAATGATTAAGCTACAAAATAATGCGTGTTCTTTTAATTTATTAAACCTGATGACTGGCAAATTGCAAAGTTGCGTGGACAGCCACGATGAAAATTGAAATCCGGCTGATGCCCTTGTATTAAACAGATTCATAAAATTAACCATTACATGCCCCCACGTAATGAAACTCGCTATCTAACGTCCAGGTAATTCAACGGAAAGTTCTATAAATTAATTTACAACTTGTATTCTGGCCAAATTAAATTGTAAATATAACTATATTATAACTTTATATTTAACGTGCAAATGCACGAGACAGAGCTCGTTGGGCGCAAAGGTAAAACTTTCGAGATAGAGAGAATGGGAGTATCCACGGAATGTTGAAACATTGGAATATCCAGCTTGCTCTAGCTCTCCCTCGTCCTGCTCTGCCGCATTAGCCTACCATTATCTCACCCGTGCGAGAAAACCATTTTCACAGACATATATTTTATCTCGTACTCGGTCACGTCTGAGTCACGTTTAGAAGGCTCAGGGGAGAAGCTCGAGATCAAGAATCGGGATAATCGTATCGCCTAATGAATTTATATGAAATTTTACAAAACCACTTCCCGCCCATTAATTTGAGTTAAGTAAAACTATTAATTATGTGCACCCCGAACACCGAACCGATATTTTACGATATCTAGGACACAACGTTAAAACTATGTAAATTAACCCTCTGAAAGTATACATTTTTCCTTACAGCCGATTTTAATTATAATTTACTATAAATTTAATATTTTACTATAAAGAAACCCTCTAATTCATTTTCTCTTCGCGTGTTTAGTTTTAATATTTAAAGCGAAGATTTACCGACTTTATAAATCCTGACGCAAATGCCAATATATATTTAAAGTAAACATAATAGATTTCGATAAAAAAAAGTTCAAGCTGCGTGTCTCGCGTATCAATGTTGATAATTGCAGCTGCAGGATAATTGTAGGCAGAAAAGGGAAAAATTTAATCATCCGAAAATACTACGTGGCGGTATGAAAATATGATATTCGAGAAGATGCGGAGTCGACGGGCGAGATGACACAGTAAGGTACGGTAAGGCACGGCACGAATCGACAACATTCAACCCCTTACAGAGTCCGTGTAATTCTCCCTACCCTATGAGCTTTGTCCCTTTTTTACTTGACTTGGCGAAACGACAAGGGAAATTAGATGTCGGGTTATGTAACTGAAATGTATCACAGTTGCGTTTGAAAATCGCAATAGATGTTGGTAAATTGAACGACAATCAATTAAAAAAACTGGAGATTCGGAAAAAAATATCACATAATTCGTATGCTTCAGTGCACACGTAAATAAATTAGTATAAATATAGGTCTATCGTATTAAAGGGTGCTCGGAAGAACATTGAATTAATCTGACTTGAATCTTTCGCGTTTATGCAAAATATAGATTTTAACTCGAACGCAATTATCTTTAGAGTTTAGATCCCTCGATAATACATAACTCGCGAAAGCGATTACGTTGATATCAATTCGATCATATTTTACTTTCCCGGTCCCGAACTTACCCCCATTAATCACAGTCGTCGGTTCATCGGTGAATAAAATAAGCGGGATGCAAGTTATAATCAGCGGGAATAATGCTGGACGCATGCCGGTGAGAGCTCGGAGCATTGACAGCTGGATCAAGCGCGCGCTGCATCTTGATAAGGAGATAACTAATGGAGAAAAGGACGAAGTGGGAACCGAAAAGACGCGTAAAAAAAGGCGGTGACGAAGAGGAGGACGAAGAGAATGACGATGACGAAGACGGAAAAGGAGAAAAAGAAAGACGGGGGAGAAAGAAGAAGAGAGAAAGAGAGAGCGCGCGCGCGAGAGTTCCAAAAACCTAAGAAGAGCATCGATCGCAGCTGTCGCCTTCGCTCCGCACCTGCTATTGTCCGCCTCGTCTTCCAGTCGACGACAAGTGAGAGAGACCGACCCCTTTCCTTTCGTACGTACACGTAGCACGAGACGGAATGTGTTAACACTCGCTCACGCGCACGCACGCACGCACGCATTCACATGGTGTCCACGGTCCACGTGGCGTTGCGTGAGGTCGTCTTATCGGACATACGCACCGTATCTCACCCTCTTTCTCTTTCTGTCTCTCTCTCTCTCTCTAATTAGCGCGAGAACGTTGAGCACGTAACGACGTTTGTTCAACGTCCCTATCACGATGTTGCTTCATACGAGAGAATTAATCGTTTCGTTAAAGGTAGAATGTTTGAGAAATATCCTATGGCTTGTGAGGCAATGACAATTTTTGGTAACGAAGCTTTTGTGCGTCGGAAGACAAAAATATAACGCGTATAAAAACAGTATTATGTAGAGGAAAGTCCTCTATTATGAGATAGGATTCTAATGTGAGAGGTTCTAGTAGATTTTCAATGTCCAAATTCAATTTGGCATTGAAAACCTTTTTTCGCTTCAAGGGCAATATATTCATGGCGGGACCAACAGATGACGCCTATCAATTTAGCAGAAACTCCGCTATCTCATATTAGGAGCCAGTCTCATAATAGGGGACTGTCCTCTAATATTAATTATCGTTTCTGTCTGATGTTAAAACAGAAACATTGTAACCATGACATAAGGAAGTTTGCTCGTATGAGTCAACTGTTGAAAAACGTTACGTATTTCCGATGACTGTCAGATTTCTAGAACGCCCTTGTCTCACAATGCACTTGCGTCGCGCAACAAATGTTTCAGCTAAGCTTTCCCCATAGGACTAAGCCCCGAATTCGTCGTTTACAAAACGAGTCACAGAATGAGTCACGAGAAAAAGGGGGAGGATAGGAGGCGGATGTCTCTAAGGGTGCCCCGTGGAGGAGCGCCAACTGTTACCCCCTTGATACTCGTGGGTGCACATGTGCTCGCGAGGGAATTTCACCATCGGTCGACGATGGGGTCGCGATGGACCCATGGGCGGTTTTTCTCGCGAACCACAAAGTCCCCTGAGAACCCGGACAAGTGTCCGGGCGAAAGATAGCATCGTGGGTGTAAAAGAGGACCGGGGGCGAGGAGACCTCCGCACGAAAAAGTCAGCCGGGATTAATGGTATCGATTGACGGGGTCGCGTTTGCAAAAGAAGTCATCTTTCTCGCGAGCTTTTTCATTTCGCGGCGTCCTTTTGCTTTTATCTGCCATCTTGTTAACATTGTTACGATATTAATTATAAACGTTTCCCTTTTGGTTCATTACGAATATTTCCGCCCGGTATATAAAACCCTCGACAAAACTATAACAAGGGCGATTGAGAGAACTGCATAGACATTTATACAAATTACACTGTCGCATTTGCGTGGATAATTAAAGCACAAACATTTAAAAACATTGAGATCATTGTTATCTCTGGTAAATTTTTGGCGAATGCCAAGTTTTGTTTGCTTACGCGATATTTATCTATCTCTAAATTTTTATTGCTAAATATACTTTCATTATATTTATCAATAAAAATATACTTATTGCATATTTATCACTAAATTACTCAAAAAGTACTTACAGTGCCGCAACACCTCGTTCGAGCATCCACCTCCGTCGACCGACGGCATCGCTGTCGACGACGACTCGCTGGCCATGTTTGAAACCTTTGACGACGGATGCACCAAAAGCAGCCCTCTTCCTTTACCGCCAATTGGCCCACCTCTACGGGAACCTCGCGGTCGGCCGCGTTTGCTTGCGCCGCGTACAGATTGTCGCATTCGCGCGTTTGCACCCACGCCGAAGGTGAAATGATGTCCAAGGCGGGCGATCTTAGGTGGAGGTTCTCCGAACTGGTGAATACTGCCCCGAGACTGTCCATGAGAATCGCTACCGGAAACCACCACCGGACCATCCACATCGACCACGAGTCCCTCGTTACTCGTTTCATCCTGTAAGAAGTCCAAGTATCAAGGTATCAGTATCAAGGATCATATAACATTATTACAGACAGTGAAACGAAGCAAGAGAACGCTTTCAAAATACATATAACATTATCGTCAAAAGATATATCTCTTCAGATTTTGCTTTCAAAACGTTTCATCAAAACATTTGAAACTATCAAATAATATAATTATTAATATATATATATATATATAAAATATAAAATACACGAGGATAATATGTTAAGAATAGAAAGTCTTTAATGTATTATAATTTTGTTTGAAACGTACTTCTGACTTGGCCGGGCTAGTCGGTGTGCTATAATTATCTATATTTTCTAACTGTTGTTGATGGTGATTGTTCTGGTGCTGTGACTGAATCGGATTGGTGGCTGGTTTAGGCTCATTAACGTAAACGGTATCGTTGTTTTTGTCTCCATTAGCATCCGCCTGACACGATTTCTTCGTATCGTTCTGAAAAATAAAGATTATAACGAACAATACAATTGAGACGAATGGAAAATGTCCGAATTAGTTCTAATTTTTATTAATTAACACATTTCAATGCGACCGCATTGCGGGTTAAATATTCTCAAATAATTGATCAAGCAATTATTTACACGTGCAATTAATTATTAAATAAAATAATGAAAGGTATCAGTGAATTCGGCTATCAACCGATAATACTATATAAGTATTAAGGAAATGAGAAGGTATAGGAGGAAAAAAGTGGTGGTTAGAGAAAATGACGAAGAAAAGGACTTAAAAAGAATCTTTGCGACGCGACCGATAGCGGTGTATAAGGGCGCCGGGCTCACCTTGACCGGAAGCGCGGTTAACTTCCTCTTCCGGTCCCTCTCCTTGTGCTGTAGGTTCGACTCGAGGCGAGCCTCCTCCGCTCGCTGCTGCTTTCTCTCCTCGCTTCGTTGGCTGTCTGAAATATACGAACGTACGGGCTTGTACTATAGGCGGAGGACGCGGCGGCGTTCGTTACTCCGTTTCTTATTATTATTCCTTATTAGGCCATTAGCATAAGCTAACGAGCATAATGTAATCGCGGCCACCTCAACCGCCCTCGTCTCGCTCCTCGGCTCATTTTCGACGCGTTTGTGTATACACGCGCGTCCTGCCGTGCGGACACGATAGAACGGTCAATAGTGACGACGAATAAAAAGTCTATCTAACGACTTTTCTATTAATTCTATTTTTTAAGGATTTTAATTGATCAGAAATTTTAACTTCTTAAATAAATTTCCTAAAGAGAAAACCAGCGCCATGCGTGTTCTTCGATTAATTTCGCGTGGATTTTACACGATTCTTTTTCGTAACAAGTTTTTGATAAAATTACAGTTATCAAATAAAAGTAATATAAAGTAACAGTGTTGTTGAGATACTTACATTTCGCTTCGATTTCTTCATCGTCCAATAGTAATGAAACGACTTCTTTGGGTTTCAAAGTGTCGGGCTTGAAATTTCCACCGCTTATGACCATACGTTGAATCTGCAATGAAAACGTTCCCTCTGCATATGTTCCACACTTAATTTTAGCATCTATAAACACAGTGATTTATAAAATGAACCTCGCTCTTTTCGCGCGCTCTCTGCAAAATTCGTTCTTCGATAGTTCCTTTACATATTAATCGGTAGACCGTGACTTGCTTGGTCTGCCCCAGTCTGTGGGCGCGATCCATAGCTTGTTGGTCTACAGTAGGGTTCCAATCACTATCATAAAATATCACCTGTAAATAGACACCGTTAATTGCAATTGCAGCATTAAAAAATACCGTAATACGTAACTATTGCTGCGCGAAATTATTGCGATACTTTTTCCACGCAAAATAAATTTATGCACTTCTTTCTTATAATATGTATACTACCAAATTAATGTTGTAATACAAAATTAAACTATAATATAATCAATCTATAGAAATGTAAATTATTAATAATAAAAAAAATCTCTTGGGTCAATTTATAATCGTACAGTAATATTATACACGCTTTAATTTCAGATGTTTATCTTTCAGATCAATTTATAGACAGTTTATAGTATGCAATCGTGCAGTCACAATTCCCATTCGTTGCAATACTATTGTAGAATGTATATTGAATCAAGCATGTAATGTCGCGAAAGGAATAACAGATTTGTTAAATCGATGATAGAAGATTGGACGGTATTGACAATCTCGCGATATCTTTGCGCACGGAAGGAGTAAACGGTATTCGGCAATGTAGATATTTTTTATGTGCCTCTTCCCTTTATTGCAATATATAAAAAATAGATTTACAGCATGCACAAAATTGGTAGTAAGAGCAATATTAATCGCATAGATTAATTCTGACAGAGATCTCTATCTCATAGACTTGTATGTGCGTGTATAATCAGAGAGAGTAAAAAGCGAAAGTTGAGATGACGAATAAGTAAATGCACATAAAACAAGGATTACTAACCGTGTCTGCTGCGGTGAGGTTGATTCCCAGGCCGCCAGCTCTAGTACTGAGCAGAAAGACGAATATGTCCGCTCTAAAACACGAAATAATCCCACAGAGTCAACTAAACCGAGGAGTGAAGACATCGGTCATTTTGTATGTAAATTAATCTGAGATTTCGATGTCTTTGAAGGATTTCTAGGATAAAATCCTCCTCAATATGAGTACATGATCACGAGATTTCAACGGTTTAAATGGTATTCTTTGCTTCCCCTCTCCCTCTTTTATCTATTTTCAAGTGTATAAAATAAAAATATGAAAGAGATGTACATAAATGAGCACTGAATAAGAAATTAACACAAACTGCACGAAAGAAAAGTCCAACATTTTGTCTATCGCTCAATAGCGATATAAAAGGATCATTATTCCAAGATTAAAATTATCTTGTAGAAATATAGGGAATAGAAATTCTAGTAACTACTCCACGCTGCTGAATAATAACCCAATAGAGCTTCTGTTTTATGGCTGTCGCGCGTTTGAAAACCTGCAGCTGTCTACAAGATGGGAACGATTCGGCAATTAATTCGCGTGTTAGTTATGCGCGGCTGAACCATACAGGACATGCGATCTCAGAATCACGCTTTAAGTATGTAACCGTATACTGTTAACACAGGAAGATATTCTAATCAGCGCAATTTATAAGTAACATATTTTTTTAAGAAACAACTGACACTGATTCCCCAGTGATAAAAATTTTACACAAACTGCGATTATATTACTGGAAAAGTTTTAAGTTCTCCATAAAATTCTTACGTAAAATAAAACAAAGCAATTACCTTTTTTGAAAATCTGCCACCATGTCACGACGATCTGAGATTTTTGACGAACCATCTAATCTCATAAATGTATGTTTCCTATGATACATATATTCCTGCGAGAAATAAATTTGTTACAATAAAATGATTATCTGTCTCCGAATCAGCAAACAGGTGAAACATACCTCTAGCAAGTCGATCATTTTTGTCATTTGCGAATAGATCAGCACTCTATGACCTTGTTCTTTCAGACGCCGTAAAAGACTGTCCAGCACAGAAAGTTTGCCAGCGTCTGTCACTAACGTTTGCTTATCTAAAATAATTTAATTTATATTTCCATATTAACATTAAGTAATTGCTAGAATTATATTACTAAAGTACACTCGATTATAAGATAATCTTGAATGTACCTGGTACAATGATATGCGACCATCCATTAATAGGGGCACACGCGGATAATCCACCCTGTGGCTGATAGCAAAATGCTGACATTGTTTGGCCGGCATGAATGCCCGACTTTTCTTCAGAAAGTGCTCGTTCGCAACCGAGCCAAAGTAATCTTTGGCCAAATAGACCACCACATTCTTCGTGCCTTTTCCAAGCACATGCTGCAGAACTATTACTGACATATAACTTTCGCGGATTAGCTTGAACCTGCAATTATTAAGTGCAAATTGATTATATTGTTCCTGGTTTCTGGATTGCATCAGAGAAAATTATATTAACCTTGGGATTATTATCGCAAACAAAGGCAGGAATCGTTGTTTGTTGGCAGTATCGCATTATAGGCTGCCGCGGATGATGAGGATGTTCAGGAAGCAGGGCTAATTTTGAATCTTCCGTTTGTTCAATTTTACCAGTCGGTAATATCCTTTGTAACTAAATATTAAGACACACTGCATCACATATTCTGCCAACTTTTGATATGCATGTATATTATATAATGTAAGATGTGCTTACTTTTAATAGCTGATTAGCTTTTTTACTACTACGTAGTATTCTGTGGGCAACAGTTTCCGGCATCGAATGTATCGTATGACTGGTATGTGTGTAGAAAGACTCGCCCTCGATTATCTTGCTGGTGAAAAATAGATCTTGCAACGTTGTTGATAAAACGTCAAATTTTTTAGGCAAATAAAACATCTGGTTTGTAGGTGTCCTCGATTTGCTATCGGTGTGCCAATTTTCCCAGTATTGTACCATTCTTAATCTTCTTTCCATGAGCGTTATTAAACATAATCTATAAATATAAATATAAAAGATTTAAATTAAAGTAAGGCAACGAATCAATTATTCTCTTATTCGATATTTACATACCTGAATAGGGTACCAGCGGTAAACATTTTGTTTATTTCCATCGGTGAGAGATTGATAAATCTACTAAATGAAAATGTATTTTCGTGCAAATCTTCGTTGCAATGAAGAGTGCGGTGAATATATTCTGCGGCAAATATAAACAACCTATTGTACAACAAATGATCTTTGGATGGTAATGTTAGATGTAAAAGTCCTTCATTGTACAGCAAAGCAGGCATATTATAACATTCCGTATTTATGAAAAACGGTGATCTAGCGTCCCTACGTTCGAACAGTTCTGGATGATTGCAGACCTGCAATTAACATGTTACATTCGTCTTTAAAAACTAAATGTGGATTTAAGACGCACTGTTTTCAGATATACATTGAGCATAAATAGAAATTTTTAGAAAAATACATATAACAGTACCTTTCGGAACTGCATGACTAGATTCATTAGATTGGAAGTAAAGTTTTTATCGTTAGACGCAGTGTCTCCTCCACCCACTGTATAATGCAGCAAATCCTCTATCCGAATTTTTTTCTTCAACGCTACAAAGAAGAGAAATGTAGCAAAAGCTATAAACATTTAATCCATGAAAATAAAATCAAGTTACCTGAGTAGAGTAGTTTTTGTCGAGTCGTGAGTGGACAATACACCATCACTTCAATCTTATCAGATAATTCATTTTCCACGTCTTTCTTTATTCTTCGTAACATGAAAGGCTTCAAGATCATGTGAAGTCTCGATAAGTGTTCTACAGTATAAAATATGTACATTTTATCATTTATAATATATGTAATCGTATTTCCCATTTAATACGATAATTTATATAAAGTGATTTACTTTCATCTATTCCAGTTTTATTCTCCGCGTGGCTTTCGATATCTTTGGAGAACCACTCGTTAAATTCATCGTGCGAATCAAACAATGTAGGCATAATGAAATGTAATAATGCCCATAATTCTGCCATACTATTTTGTATAGGAGTACCACTGAGCAATAATCTATTACGACAACTAAATCCCAATAACAATTTCCATCTCATACTGTTAAAATAATTAATATATATTAGTTAAAGAGAATTATCATCCAATTGTCACAGCCAATAACAAAAAAGTAAAACATGAACATAGAATAACATACCTGCTTGTGCTTTTTATAGCTTGTGCTTCATCCAAGATCATATATTGCCATTTTATTCTATTAAAATATTTATAATCCGTGATTACTAACTGATAACTTGTTATTACAACATGGAAAGAAGCTTCTTTTGTGTGCAAATCTTTAGTATCCCAAAATTGTCTGAGTATCTTGCGTTCTTGAGGATTACCCCAATATGGAACTACTTTGAATACTGGTACAAATCTCGCCATTTCCTGCTGCCAGTTATGCAATGTTGAAGCTGGCGATATAATTAAGAATGGTCCCCAAACAGCTAAAATTAATTGCCAATTATACATTCATTGTCAAGTTACTTTTGCAACAGCTTCAACGATGCATATAAAATGTTAGAATTGTAATAATCAAGCTTAAATGCTACAGACTTACAATATCTTTCGGCCACATGACATAAAAATGCTATGGATTGTACAGTTTTTCCCAGGCCCATCTCATCAGCTAGTATTCCGCTAATACCCTGAAAACAATTCACAAAGTTAGATCATATTAATAAAACAAAGATATTTGGTAATTTTAACAACGTAGTGTATACGTAGTTACAAACCTGATCATACAAATTTGCCAACCAATTCATTCCTTTTAATTGATAACCTTTCAGATTTCCCTTGAAAATTGAAGGTTGCGGATGCTCCAGGTTCTCAGGTGTATCGCTGAGACGTAACTCTTGAGATGCGGCAGCTGTATCAAATTGCTTGGTTCTGGCCTTTTCATTGTTAAATGCTTCAGTCGCGTTTCTTTTTGCCTTATGTTTCATGGTGTCACTACACATTTAATAAATATAAGCTTTCGCAGTTAAATATGAAATAGGCTTTAATAATCATATACAACATTAAAGTAATCAGTTTTAGGACACACGTGGGTAAAACTAAAAATTTAATTCAAGTACCTATCATAATCGTCGATACCAATAAGTCTGGGATTCTTTTCTTCGTCCAATTGATTTAAGATTCTCGATTGTTCCTCTGCTGATGCCTTATCTATTTTTCGCGACATGAAATGGGCATACAATTCTGTTTGAGTAATAAGGAAATTTAATTTCCTCTGCTGACGTTTTGCCTGAAAGAAGAGCAACGTCAAAATTGGGAAAAATAAAAAGTGAAAACATATCTTTTCATATAATCTAATATCTTCTTACTTCGATAAGTTCTACGTCCATTTTACGTTGCTCTTCAGCTTCTTTTTCTAATCTTCTCCTGGTTTCCCGTTCGACTCGATCATAACGCTTCCAATAAGACTGCATCTCTCTTGTCAAGCGTTTCGCCCGCCAGATAGTTTCTTTCATGTTTTTCTGCGACTGAATCGTAAGATAAAAATAAATAATACATACAATCTATAAATATAAGAAGTCGAGCACACAGTTCAAGCATTAACTTGTACTCACTTGCATTGCTTTCTGTCTCCAGTATTTCATACAATGCTGCGCTACTTTCTTACAACTTATTAGCATTTCTTTATGGTTATTGGTTTTGGCCCTTTGTACTTTTCCTAGTTCTTTTTTCGACATCATCACCCATATTTTTCTTCGTCTCATCGTCATTACCTCAACACTCTTGGTATTATGCTTTTTTCTACCTCTACCTCGAGGCTGATGACGCATTATGGCTTCCAATTCAGATTCGTCTAACTCTTCCCCCTTGGGAATTGATTTATCCCATTCTCCCTCCGGATATTCTCCTTTCTAAAATTATAACATTTTCACTGAAGGAAACGTAGAACGTAAACGTTAATGTACATGTAACATATAAAATTTACATACACGATACTCCTGAGATGCAGAGTGACGATTAATCTTTTCCTTCTTAATCTTCATGATTTTTTTATCTGGTTTCTTCTCTTTCTTCTTCTTATTACCCACAATCAGCTTTTGATGTTCTAAGAATCTATCGTAATTCGATAATAAGCCTGCGCTGTAATATTGATATTGAATATTCTGAAAATAACAATACGTTACAACATCTCGAATCGTTAAACATTTGCTAAACGTGGTTAATTGTCATGTGCTCACTTCTGGTTTCTGGTAAAAGCGACCTTGATATTTTTTCCGTAATATATGAATCTTCAGCATATCTTGAAAATCTTCTTCCGTGATTTGGCTATCCGTGTCAGAACCCGATGCGGAACTGTCGGAGGAATCGCTTAGAAGGATATCTTGCAACCACCGTCTTTCGTCTCCTACATCGGACATGTTGTATAGCCTTAACTTGTTGATTTTCGCTTCTGAAAGAGTAACAGAGAAAAGTCACAAGGAAGCGTGGATTCAACTATTTAAATGAGATGAAACCTGACAATTTATACCAACCTTCTTTGCGAGTGGGTACATTATCGAGATAAGCATCCGAGTTGTCGGAAGACTCCGACGAGACAGACTTGTCATCCTCACTGGAAAGCGGAACGTTTGTATTGTTACATGTATCACGGATGTGTCCTGGGTTAGCGTAGTAAGAACATATTTTACAAATGATAATTGTATCAGTACCTAGCTTGTTCTTGAAAAAGATTGTCGACCTGCTTTAAGAAAGGCTGCACATTCAGACTGCGCTCCAGTCTTTGAAAATGCAAGGGCTCAGCCATCTCAGCTTCGAGCTTCATCGTGTTTGCTCTATCAGACATTACCCGTCTATGAGAAGCCTGACAATCTGCAACGATGCACAAGCACGGAATAAAATAACAAGATAACAATTTAAAGACTGCGACAAATCTATTTAAGCAAAACTACCGACACTGAATCTATACGCGTCTTGGGCAACACGCGAAGGTAAGCTTTTCGGCGGTGCTCGCGGGTGAAAAGTACTCGGCTGATTCACTAAGGCACTGAATCTATGCGGTAACGATTAAAACAAGTTTCAGCTACGTATAAGGCGAGTTTTCTCCCTGGAACTGTACAAACCCAGTGAGAAGCATCGCAGGCTACGGCGAAAGTGAGGGAAGGTACGCGTCACACGTGCACCGGGACGGAAAAGGGAAAACGTGGAAAAGTTGCAGACGGCGAGTCGCGGGGAAGGCCAGCCCCAGCTGGGTCGCCGCCTGTGCACCGGGGGAACTGTCGGGTTTCGAGCAACGGACGGCGCATACTACGGGCGTGGAACTGGCATGCGGGATCGCGCGCGGCTAATTTCATTATATAAGGCGAGTGACACGTCGTATCGGAAGCTGGTGCGGTTATAATTCGGCCAAATACTCGGCCAACGGTTTTGCTATCACCTTTTGTTTTGGTTATACGCGGCCCCCGCTTATTTCGCACGCGCAACAGAGCCTACCACCGGGGTGCGATTCCCTCTGTTCACAGCGAAATCAGATACATCGGTCGTAGGGGAATACATGGTAGAAGGAAGCCTAGAGAACGCAGACATTTGGCGTGCCATTAAAGCGGGGCAGGGATAGGGCATCGTGCTCGCCACCATTTTTGTTTTCAGTAGGTGGCGCTGGCCGCGCCCGTGCCCGTGCGCGCGGTCCACCCGGCGGATCTCGTTTCTGCGTTATCTCCTCTCCCAAGGCGTCCACCTGCGTGCACGTACAATTGTCCGAATTACGGCCCAGATCTCCATCCGTTTTCTAGTATATGCCGCAACGAGCCGCGAACGCGCGACTTTGCAAAATTTCTGTCGCGGAAAACGGGGGGGGGGTCGTCTCTCGTCGACGAGAGCCTCGATTCTCGACGGATCATTAATTCCATGCGGGTTCTCGTTGCTCAAACAAAGACGGAGACTTGTCTCTCGACCAACAAACAATTGGATCGCGCTCGATGCGGGCGCGCGCGACGTAAACGAGCGTACGTGCCGAGTTGGCGAAAGTTAATCGCGTCGATCTGCGCGTAAATCTCGTACGAAGATTATCAAATTCGCGCAAGAATATATGATCCGGCAAAATCTTGCCCGCCGAGACGGCGGTCTC